TGTTGGTGTTGTTGATGTTGTTGTTGTTGTTGTCGCGCGCACCCGAGCTCACGATCCCTATGTTTGTACGACGGACCTGCACGAATGTGTTGTTGCTGGTGGCGCGTTTGTCGAAGTTATATAAATCATAAATGGATTGGAGGTTTTTTAACCAATTGGAAGCACATTTTTCATGTACAAGCGCATTTGAACTTGCTAGATCAGTGTAACTTCGTCCTTATAATGCTATTGCATTCTCTGACGCTCCCAGGGAGACCAGAAATTGGGCGTACATGGGGTCATTGCACAAAACCATTACAGTGTACCTTCCCCTTTTGCGGTATGATACATCCGGTTCTATTCTTGGGACGCTTTCCAACTCCTTCAGACAGTCCATGGCGCACTTCCTCTTCTCGTTCAGCGGTAGATCCCTGTTCTTGTTCGTGAAGTTGAAGAGCACTGCATGCTTCTCATATAATTCGTTGAGGGACTGCAATTGTTCTTTTGGATATTCCCAAATTTCAACTTCTACCTCCTCTCCCGCATTGTTTTTGATGGGTTCTTTTGTCTCGTTGATTTTATTTCTGTTATCTTCATCAAAAATTCGATAGCCCTCTGTCCCAGGGCTCTTAGTGCTGAATTGGAATTTTGGATCCCTTCGGATGGAGTTTGAGAAAGGGTGTTCGAGCTCTGGGTGGCCATGGGAGACAGTCCTGGTGGAGGTTTTGCTGGTGCTTTATCCTTCTTTTCCATCCCTCTGTGCACTACCTTACAGTAGGAGTTGGCCATTGTTCACTGGTTTGATTTTGCTATAGCAGTGATAAGGAGAGGTTACCTTCCCACCTAGTGATCGGTTGTTATGCCTCACATACTGTTCAATCTAAAAAAACAAAGGTATGTCTCACATACTGTTCAATCTGATAAAACAAAGGAATTCCTATGGCTGATAATGATGCTGTGTGAATAGGTGTTGATTAACTTATCAAATCAATAGGAATGGGCTTAAAAAAATAATAATAATAATGCATTACAGTGGGTAGATTCCTAAATCAAGAGCCCAGTGATGTTTTTAAAATGTCGGAAGTCCGTCTACCCTCACTCTGAGCGATACAAAACTTTTCGCCCACCACTTGGGTGGGCTGTTCGATCAGTCTGTGATGGATTCCTATCTGTGTTCACACCCTTCTTTCTTCTAGGCTTCGTCTTGATCTCACGGTCGGCGGGATTTAATTGATCTCCGAATCGTTGTTGGTCTCGGGGCCAGAAAGCCACTGATAGGGTGAAGTGGTCTGGGAGGAGGGCGGGGGTAAGGGGATATAATCAAATGGTAAGGAAGCTTAGAGGTGTGGGGGATTGCGGAGAAGGTGGCAGGTACGTAGTAGGGACTGCAGATTGGAAGGGTTCGTTAGTGGTTGTGTAGTTGGTCGATGGGTTTCTGGGGGGAAGAAGGATAAGTGTGGTACTATGTCGTGGTTTGCGAGGGGGTGAGGGAGGGGGAGTCGGGGGAGGGGAGGGGGAGAAGTGAAGGGAGGTTAGTTGATAGTGTGGATGGTTGGCGCGAGTAGCCTGGTGGGGGGGTATGAGGGTGGGCGGTCAAAGGAGTGAGGAGGTAGAGGGAGGGGGAGGGTGGCGTACGGCAGCGTAATGATGGGGACTATGAAACCACGCGCTGATTGAGCACGCCGGCGATGCTCGAGTTTTTTAGCACCGCTCAAAACCGTGCTCGAGCGCCTTCGCGAGCGGATCAGTACGACGTGTGTGGAGTGTCGGTGGGGGGTGTACGGGGTCCCACGCGGCCGGGGAGCGGTTGGGGGGGAGTTCCGGCCAGCTGCCGACAGGTGGTTGTCCCCCTCCAACAAAGTTTCACACAACTCGCTATTAAGCACTGTGCGGATGAGCCTGCACTCATTCGCGTTTGTGTACGCTCGGCCGCTGAAGCGACGCGCGTGTAGATATGAGAGAGAGAGAGAGAGGGCCATAGTCCTTAGCCCTGACGAAGGCGCGCGCGCGCGCGCGCGCGCGCGCGAGAGAGAGAGAGAGAGAGAGAGAGAGAGAGAGAGAGAGAGAGAGAGAGAGAGAGAGAGAGAGATTCAGAGAGGTGGTGTCGAGGACGGCAGGGGCGGCGAAGATGGAGACCACGATGACGACGACAAAGGGCAGGCAGGAACACGCGCGCCGAGATTTTCGAGCGCGCACTGAAATCTTTGAGCGCGCGCTGAAAGTTTTGATCGCGCGCTGAAAGGCGCGGAGAGTGGCGATTCGGGGGCGGGGAGGGAACCTTGGCGGAACCCTACTGCTGCAGAGCGGCCTGTCGGCTGGAGGGGTTGGCGACGGTGGGGGATTTTGGCCCGGGGTCCCAGTCCGAGGACTTCGTGGACGGCGGCCTGAAGGGTGGTGGGGTTTTTTTCCAGGTTCGGGGAGTTGGCGGCTGGCTGCTCGTCGGGTGGGGGAGTGGGTGTTGGGGTGACGGCGGGCTTGCCAGCAGCGGTTCGGTAGGTATTAACAGGGCACTGCGAAAATGTCGAAGCGGCAAGTCAACACCTTCATCCAGGCCAGCGACGACACGCAAGCAAGCATGAAGAATTCGAACAGCGTGTGCAAGTATGTGCTTGTTGGCCAGGAGCTTTCTGAGAAGCTCTGTGGTCAGAGGATGCTTCGGTGCGTGTGTTGCGCGAACGAGTGGCAAGGGAACAGGCGTGGGGCGGCGCAACATTTTTGCAGCGTGAAGGGTTGTTCGCAGGTGACTCACAACGCTCTTAGGGACATCCATTACACGAGCGACTGCACGTTCGAGGGAAAGTGGTTGGAAGGAATCCGCAAGTATGAGGAGCTTCACGGTGCTTGGGTGGAGAACAAGATTCCTGGCGGAGGTCCTCATGAGGCCAGGGCGGCGTCCACAGCCCCAATTGGGGCAAGGCAGCAGGGCGATGATGTCATCGATTTGAATGGCGAGGGAGAATGTGGCGGGGAGCACGCGGGTACATATCAGCAGCGGCCAGGCAAGCTGCCTGTTGGTGAGGGTGGTTCAAATTTAGGGAAGAGGAAGGATATGGACGGTGCCATGATGCAACAGGGGAGGAAGATGAGGCAGCCAGCGATAAAAGAGGTGTTTGGGTCTGACTGGGTTGCCAAACACAGGAAGTTGTGGTTGCGCTCCGTATACAACAACCAATTTGCCTTCAACATCTTTCGGAGCCCCACATGGAAGGCATACACCGCACACTTAAGGGACAAACCCTCTTCAGTGCCCGTGATTCAGCCTTCCGAGGAGGAAGTCGCAGCAAAGGATATGGTGGTTGAGACGGCAATCGACATTGTTGTCGGTCTTAAGGACATACAAGAGCCATTTAACCACACAGGGGGCACGATCCTGTCCGACGGCAGGAAGTCTCGTGATGGGAGACCCATCGTAAACTTCCTAACAGCTGGTGCTCGAGGAGTGATGACGTGGAGCACCCTCAACAGAAAGGGTGAGTCCAATGATGCGCTGGCAGTGTTGGGGAGGTGGATATCAGTCTTCCATGACTTCGGTCCAGGCAGGGTCAACGCAGTTTGCACAGACTCTGTGTCTGCCTATGTAAAGGCAGGCAACGCTTTGGCCGATCCAAATATGCGGCCTGAGTACAAACGCATCACGTGGCTTCCGTGCGCGACGCACGTGTGCAACAAGTTGTTGTCGGACATCGGGACAACGGGTCTGTGGTGCGTGGATATTATTGTGCGGGCGAGAGCAATAGTGCATTTCATAAACATGCACGACCGAGCGCATTTCCTATTCAGGAGAGAGAGTCGCAATCTCGGGTTGTTGTACTCGTGCGAGACTCGATTCGCATTTGTCTACGCCATGTTAGAGCGGTTGGATGTTGTCCGGCGTCCTTTGGAGCGGATGGCAGACGGGATTGACTGGTGCAGGGACCCTTAGACGACTACATCGATCAGGCAGCATGCAGACTGGGTGCGGTGGCAGATCCGGCACGGCACCTGGTGGGACTCCATGGACATCTTGCATGTCGTTATGGAGCCGGTTTATGATCTGCTGCGCAAGATGGATCGTGGAGGGCAGTGCATGTCGAGAGTGGTTTACTGGGCGGGGTGGTTGGCAGAGGACGTGGAGGCGGCCGTTGCTCCGCTCGAGGATGGATTGGCAGACCAGATTTCCAGGCGCGTGTAGGACCGCGTTGCTCATATGTGTGAGCCTGCGCACGTTGCGGCGTACCTCCTCTGCCCGATGAGGAGGTCGATGAAGTATTACAGCGGCGTGGTGAAGGATGAGGACGCACGACTTGTGAGGGAGGCAGAGCGGTACATTATGTCGCAGACTCGGTTCGACGAGCGACACAAGGAGTACCGAGACGATGTGTTGCAGCTGCGGGACTTTCACATGTGAACTAACTTGCTCATGGGAAGGGGAGCGGGTGCGGGCCGCTGCGGAGATGTGTGTTGGGGAGCAAGAGACCTTCGAGTGCGATCTATGGTGGTCACAAAATGACGGTTGTTCTCCCGAACTTCAGCGTATCGCTCTTCGTGACATGTACATGTGGACGTGCTCCTCTCCCGCCGAGAGGAACTGGGCCATCCAAAAGAGTACTCAAATGAAGAAGCATAACAGCCTAACAGGTTATTGTTCCCGAAGGTCGCAAAGCTGGTCGAGATCACAGCCAACACGCGACTTCTGGCTCTTCAAAGCGCGGGGGGCGGACTGGTTCTTCCGTGGACTTACGACGAGTCCATGCAGGACGACGAGGGTGGCCTGGAGGCAGACGCTATCTGCGAGGGAGTGGACCAGAGGTATCGGAGGAGGACCGTGATGCGCAAGCGCAGTTGTGGCAGCGGGATGCTTGTGGTTCACGACCATCGCCGCCGATCGAGGATGTTTTCGAGGTCCGCGCTGCCACTTTGAGGCCGTACCCGAGAGATGACTCTAGTGGAGATGAGTGCGAGGTACATGATGAGGGATTTCACCCCTGCAGCAGTGCAGGTTCCCCATGTGTAGAGGACGACGATGCATGGAGTGACCCTGAGGAGGTTCGTCATCGCAGTGGCGGCAGAGATATATTCGAGGACACGGTGAGGGGCGGCGCTCGAGTTGAGGGATGTTGGACCGGATTGGGGAGCCCTCATGGCGTGCTGCTTGGTCAGACCTCATCTCCCCCCGGACATGTTGGGCCTAGCTCGTCTCCGCCCACTCAAGGGGTCATACCAGGCATGCAAGGAGCCCATGACAGACAGGGTCCGGCAGCCGGGGGTGTATCTTCCGTTGTGCGGGGTTCAATGAGATGACGACGACCATTCAGGAGGACTCGACAGGGGCCGGGTGCTTCATCGACTTAGGAAGGGTCCGAAGAACCCCAAGAGACAACTGATACTGGATTCTCAGTCGCCGTCGTCGTCGATGGGTGCGAGGACGGAGGGAGGGCAGAGAGGAGATTTGGGTGGTGGTGTTGGTTCTGGGTTGGGGAGTGCATGGTCACTAGGGGACTTGAGGACGTTAGGGGAGCTTCCAGATGGTAGTGTATGTCGCAAGGAGCTAGATGACGAAGCCCATGAGGGGGCAGATCATGACCAGGTTGGACTCCGGGACCATGCTATGGAATCAGCGTCCATGCGCGATTTCATGAAGGAACTCAAGGCCACTCTGCCTGCCATGACGGAGGGTGAGGCCATTCTTGTGCAGGAGGCCGATGCCGAGGTGGTCCAGCCTCAGCCACGGCCGATTCACATGGGAGAGCCTGCACCCGAAACAGAGGACGAGCGCATGGCTCGAGAGGCGAGGGAGGACAAGGAGGAGGCCGCAAGGGCAAAGGCCCTAGCCGACGTCGACCCGCACACGCAATGGCCCGTGACGTGGAGACGGTGGGGAGGGTGATGTCGGCGACTACAGGAGCAGGAGTGCATGGCTTTCAGGAGGACGTGCATGACATGGTCACAGAGGATGCCATGCTGGAGGGCGTAGGTGCCATTGCGCACACGTAAGCACTGGAGTCTCGCGGGTTCGTTGAGGAGGCAGATGGCGACACGTCGCATGCAGCTATATAGAGAGAGAGAGTGAGACACACGGGCCCGATATCGTCAGTGCATTCACCGCGACGGAGGCACGTCATGGAGACTCGGCCTGCCTTGCACAGGCACAAGAGGGAGAGGCGAGTGGTGAGAGATTGGCCGACTCGATGTGGCAGAGCCTGATGCCGCTCGGGCAGTGCCTGCAGAGGTTGTGGATTGTAGAGACATGAAGGTACGAGCAGGAGACGCGAAGGATGGACGTGGCAGACGTGACTCACGCGAGTCTTGCGCCGGTGGGGGGAGAGGCATTCCCGATTCGTGTGGAGCTGGAGGAGGACGCATGTCAGCAGCCTCACGCGGATGAACGTGCGTGTACGACTATACCCGGTTCAGGCGCGGAGCAGGGAGTACGTGTTATGGCACCCATCGCATCGACTGGTGGGGGGATGGAGTTGATCACTTGTTCTCGAGAGTTTGAGGTCTCAGCGCCCATTCAGGGGGACGGATCGGCGACCACACATCGTCTGTTGCATGGGCCGACGTTGCAATCCAACGTCCGCCACCGCTTATCCCCTCAGCGGATTCATCGTCGTCCACCTAGCATTGAGAGGCGAGGCATTCCTTACGTAGAGCAGCCCCAAGGCAGTTTGATATTCGACACTATGATTGCTGATGAGTTGGGTGCGTGCCTTGCGGAGGATCTCACAGAGGCGAGACGTGAAGCGAGGATCGACTCTAAGAAAGCCAAAGGAGTTCTTCCACGCATGCAGTCCGTTTCATGGGGCCTTGCCAGCCCCACACCGCCTCAGATGCTTCGGTGGCGCTGGGTGCCATGGGAGTTGGTGCGGTGTAGTCCCCTCCTTGTGTCGCACGTGATCGTGGGACACAGCCGTCTACGCCTGCCTCAGTGGCGGGCAGGCGACGAGAGTGTGGAGAGGCGACATCGAGCGTCGTGGGTGCGTCTTTACTCCGGCGCACCGACGTGCCGTGGAAACCAGACGAGGAAGTCGACGGCGACTACCAGGAAGAAGCAGCCCGGGCTGGGGAGGCGACGCTTGTCCACGTCGTCGACAAGGGAGGTGCCTGTTGCTGGGTGCTTGTTGTTGGGTTCGAGCGTCGTGGCGGGTTAAATGCTCCCATTGAGGGTGCGGGCGGATGTGGATATGCAGCGCCTGGTTCATGAGTGTCGACTCATGGATTGAGGGAGGTGTCACAGATCCTTGGGGCAGATGCGGTGGGGCCTCCCAGAACACAGAGACCAATACATCGACCAGCATCACGCCTAGAGGGTGAGACCACACAGGAGGCGAGGGGTTGGAGATGACGCCAGGCAGACATCGCACGGACACCCTCTGATCGGTGTCACGGAGGGAGATGAGACGGGATGGCATCACGATGGTCGACGATGATCATACAGACGCCATTGCAAAGGAGGCTGAGGGAGAGGACCTGCCGATACACGGGGCACGAGGGAGCACACTCGCACGTGGCGAGCGACGGACCACGACCCCAGCGAGACGCGGTGGACGCTGTTGACTTTTTTTTGTTTATTAGTGGTCTGAGACGCGACCGCATCATTTAATTTTGACACGTTCCATTACTTTGTGTCCCAATAGCATCATTTTTTCGTTATCAGGCAGTGTTTTTTTTTTTTTTTTTTTTTTTTGGTTCATTGTGAAACCTTTCTTTGTGCAACACGTTTTGTCTTTTCATGTTT